GGGGCTAAAATAAAGATGACCCTCGAGTTGGCCGACCCTAGGGAAGGGTAATAGGTTGATAGGTATATGTAAAACCAAGGTTGGGCCTTGCTGGAGCAGTTTTATTCAAAGTGAACTGTCAAGGGGGTCCCATAAATCCCCAACCGCGTAAGGAACGCAATATCAAGGAACATAACACCGGTATGACGGAAACTAGGGCGGCAAGAGTGGAACAAAACACCAGGCAAAAGGCCGCGCCTTCCACCCTTTACCAAGTATATAGATGTATTAAAAATAAATAAGAGATATTGTGATATCCCAACATATCCATGTTCCAACATGGAACAAACTTCAGCTTCACCTACAACTAACAACGCTATAAGAGGGGCTCAACAAAAGCGGTAACATAGCCAAACAATGGTTTGCTAGGAAGGTGGGTTAGAGGCTTGACATGACCATATGGGAGGGATGATATAACAAGTGGTAGGTAGCACGGCATAGCGATAGAGCGAACAACTAGCAAGCAAAGATAGAAGTGATTACGACGGTATGGTCATCTTGCCTGCAATATTCTCAGAGTTGTCGAAAGCTTGATCATCGTTAGCATACTCAACAGTTTCCTCGTTCACGTACTCCTCTCCCGGCTCTACCCAAAGCAAGAACACAAGCAATGGAACTACAATCAATCACGGTGCAATGCACAAGCAACATGATGCAATACATGGCATGATATGCAAGATATGATATGCAATGCATATGCATGCTTCAGAAGGGAATGAATGATAAAGGCATCAACATGGCAAACCAAGTATGCCGCTGGAAAGATGAGGTGATTTCGGTCCAAATCGATATAAGGATCATCGGAAATGGATGCACGGATTGCAAATGACAAGCAATATAAGGATGATGCGAAACTGTGATTAACAACATGATGGCACTTAGAGTGCAACAAGAAACTAAGCTACTGCACTCCAACATAGAAACAAAGCATATGGCAGTGATGTACAAGAGATGCTTGACAAAACATGAACACTGAGCTATGGCTAAATCGTAATAGAAGAGGTTCAAACAAGTATGGCAAAAGTGCAAAAGATATTAGCTTCACAGACTTTGTGAAAATACTAACATGTCCAAAACAACATCGGTAAGCAAAGTTTAGATCAAGCAAACAACATGCTACAGTAACTTATCATGGAAAACAAAGGCATGACATGCTTCTACTAAATGCATTTAAGAAAACTCCCTTAAAGAACATGAGCCAAAAAGGCACAGAAGATATGATGGCACCCATGTAAACATAGCAAGTTATGTTAACAGTTTCAGACTTTGAAGAAAAATAGAGCATGGCATAAACAGATTCATGAGAGCAACTTTGCAAGCTCATGCCACTCACCACAAAGCATTACATGGCAACATAAGCATACCAATAGGAAGAAGATATGTTCGTGAAGCTAACCATGACAAGAGAAAGTTGATAGGATGTATGGATCACTAGCAAAACACATGGCAATATTGATTAACATGATAACAATCTGCCAGGAACATTATTTAGCAAAAGTAGAGCAAGAAAATGACATGCTAGTGCACTCCATAATTGCAACCATAGGCATGAAAGGATATAGCATAACCACATGTTCAAAACATCCTTACTAAAGTATCTCAAAATAAGCATGGCTCTCATGGTAGCATCAAGTTTACATGGCATCAAAATAACATCAGGAAAAGGACTAAGCAAAATCCTAAGTGCCTGAAAACAACAACATCACGGAGCCTAGTTTGCATGCTTGTGCTATTCACCACATAGACCACAAAAATACAATATTTCCACCCCTGTAAAGATGACATGTCTTAGTTCAAACCACATGTAGACCTCATGCTCATAGGATGCACACAGAAAATGCATCAAAAATGACAAATTACCATGTTCTGCTAAGAACTAGCAGTTAACATTTTATAGCACTCTTGCAACGATGAAAATGGCATCATACTTGACAGTAAAATGCATGCAAATGCTACTAGCATGTAGAGCTCAATGAAACGACCATTTTGACATATCATATGCATGATTCGGAGCCACGATCACAGAGATACGGCATGATGAAGGAGGCATAAAAAATATGATGACAGGAAAAGACTTGGTAGAATTTTGGACATCGGGGAGGAAGTGGATGAAGGGGTGCAGGATGAGGCGGCGGCGGTCGACCAACGGCGACGAGGCGGCGGAGCACTCTCACAAAGTCCGCCAAGGGCAAGGGCGGCGGTCGGCGGTGGAGACCAGGCCGGGCGGCGGCGGTGCAGATCTAGGCCCGGGCGGGCCCGCGATGGGCTTCACGGGCCGCGCGGTGGTGGGAGGCGGCGGCGATAGGTGGCGGCGTCTGATTGGATGTGGGAGGCAGCGGTGATGACGTGGCGTGACGGGATCGGTTGGAGCGACGTGGCGGCTGGACTTGTCCGGTGGCACGAGGAGGAAGATGCTAGGGTTCATCCGTGAATTTCGGAGGGGAATGTGTATATACAAGTAGAGGGAGCTAGGAGATTCCAAATGAGGTGCGGTTTTCGCCCACACGATCGTGATCCAACGAATGAGAGCATGGAGGTGGTTTAGATGGGTTATTCAACTGATTTGAAGGCGTGTTGGGCTGCAACACAAAAGAGGCTTTTGCGGTTACCCGGTTAACAGTTGGGGCATCAAACGACCTCCAAATGGAACGAAATTTGACAGGCGGTCTACTGGTGGTGTACCAAGGCCACTTGACAAATATTTGCCCATTTCAAGAACGGTTAACTCCCACTCATGAAAAGAGACAAGAGGGGTGCGCCGGGTGCATGTGGGAGTGTCGGATTGCGAAACGGACAACGGGGAAAATGCTCGGATGCATGAGACAAACACGAATAAAAATGCGATGCACATGATGACATGATAAGAAATGCATGACATGAACAAAATGCAAAACAAAGACAAAAACCTAACCACGAAGGGAAAATCATATCACATCTCCAGAAAATGGGAAGAGTCGGAGTTACAAATGTGGAAATTTACATCCGGGGCATTACAGTACGCGAGCCCTTAGAACTCGTTGCTGAAGTTTGCCAAGCAATACACAGCTTTGCAACAGAAAATACTAGGATCTCAGCTACAACAAGAAGCAAACACCGCACTCAAGCAGCCTAAATTGCTAACATATTTACCGATGGAGAGACAGATGAGCAACATATATACCAACAAGATTTTTAACAAGTAAGTCAGTTGTGTTACCGTCTAATTTACACAAGCATGAAGGTAGTAGGTGCCATATAGAATGCAATGCAGTTGCTAGCTTTTTTGAAATGCTGATATATTTAAAGTATCCATTGAGTACAGGGTAATCAAGATATGTAGTTGCCATGTGAAGTCAACTGTAGTTGCCGTGTGAAAATCAACTATAGTTGCCATGTTGAATGAACTGTAGTTGCCATGTGAAATCAACTATAGTTGTCATGTTTAATGAACTGTAGTTGCCATGTTTTATGATATGTAGTTGACATGTGACACAATACTATATTTGCCATGTTGTATGAACTGCAGTTGTCATGTTAAATGTAATGCACTTGCCAATTAAAAATGTTATGCATTTGCCATGTGAAAAATATCATGCAGTTGCCATATGGAAACAAACAACACAAGAACAGATGTGGGAAAAAATCAGGATTCCCATGCCATCATTGATGTTAGATGCGTTTGCTATGTTACGACCTACATCAACATAAGGTGCTACAAAAACATCATATAAGAGTTTAACAGAAACACATAAACATATAGATTCCAGGAGGAAATAAAGCGTGCCAGCATGTACACAGCTTACCAGATCGATGAGCATACGTTCAAGGTCTGTTCTCTCTTGGGCATGTCGGATTCAGAACTTGAAGACCTGGAGAAGGGAAAGAACTACTTCGTGAAGGCCTCGATAAACGATGGCGAATACTACTGCCAATGCTGCAAATTCGGATGGGATGGGATTGTGTGCTGTCACATACTAAAAGTAACGGACATGGTCGCGGTAACGAGATTGCCCCGCCATTTTATACGGCGGCAATGGACTTGGTATGTTGACGATGCATTGCGGCCACAAACATCAAATGCAGTTTTGGCTGTGCATGATGAGAGACTAGAGGCAACCATGGAAGCTGTGAGGCACGTTGTGTTGACCAAGAACTATGATGAACTAATAGATGAAGCATGCAAGAGTGATGAGACAGCGAGGGTGGCAGAAAAACACAGGAAGGCCCTGAAAAGAGAGCTTGATGAGATAAAAATGATGAAGGCCGAAGAAGCCTTACACAGGTTCCCCCGCACCTCAAGTGTGCCTTCGTCCACGGGTTCATCATCTGAAAACTCAGAGGTAGGGTCTGGAATAGCAAGCACGCAAACTCAGGTCAGGAACCCACTCCGTTCCATCAAAAAAGGGCATCCAAAAGAGGTCAGATACAAATCGGGGTTGGAGATTCAAGCAAAACACAAGAAAACAAAGCAAGGGCGGGAAATCCATGAGCAACTCTAGAGGATAGTTACTTGGGTGTTGGTCACATTTTTGTAAGGTAGATGGTCTAGATTTTAAAAAATTGGAGAAGGACTGTTGATCGGCATCAGAACTTGACAGAAAATGACATGAATCAGTGACCACAATTGCCCCGTTGGTGGTACTTAATCTGCGATGTTATTTTTATAGAATCTGCCATGTTATTTCTATTGTATCTACCATGTTATTTCTACTAAATCTGCCAGCGCATAGATTTTTGTTTCAGTCAACACATTTTATTCCACACATATTGTATTGTACGCATACTATGAAAAACTAGTTGAAATGATCGCGTGCAAAAAACGCAAGGTAATGGCTGCTTATGAACTACCATGCTAACTGGTACAGTTAGTAATGCAAAAAAACCAAAAAGCCAAAAAACAGAATGATTACTTTCACTAACCATATCTGATCAACTATATTTGCCATGTTTTCATGCATCATAGACGCATTCAAAACACCCGACTAGTGCTACCAACCACAATCACATAACAGTACCCAAACATAAATGTAGCTATTGTCACACCTAAGTAGGTTCACATCCATACATATATTACAAAAATATTAAAAATGTCACTCACACTCCACCATTGTATACTAGGCTACGGGGGGATGCAGTCATAACATAGTGCACGAACATTGTTTTAAAAAAGAACAAGTTAATACCTTACATTCCTCAGCCATAGAATGTAAGGTAGGCATGTAGTATGAAGAACCATGTGATCGCTTGTACTTCTTGTTGGCTTTTTTGACAGCTTCCTCTATGAAATCTCGTGCGTTGGCCCGCGTGTTGAAATCTTCATTCATCAACCAATTCCATGCGTATATTTTGCGGAGCTCAATGATCGTTGCAGCTGTGACGACAGGGACCCGTCGGCCTTCCAACTTTGCAAGGTATTCCAGCATGTGCAATCCACAGTCCTGCCTATAAAAAGAAAAGGATCGGGTCAACTCAAGAGAACAGGAAAAAAATCATAAACTTCAATGTAGAGGTGACAAAAAGGTTTAGGGATTGGTGTGGAGGACACATGAAAAAAGATAGTAATTACCGGTTTCCTTGCTTAGTAGTCGCGACATAATCGATTGGAAAATGACCGATCTGGACCCTTGAGTTTTCGTAGTGACGGTTCCATGTCTCTTTGAGGTTTTCGATGAAGAATTCAGTATGTGTAGTATGGTCTGCATCATCTTCTGAACGCATTGAACTAAGCACCTCAAAACGTTGGTTCTTCAGGTCAAGGAAAATCGCATAGTGGTGACCACACTTGTCATGTGGGTCCTGTGGTGCAAACTCTTGGAACATGGGGAACAGTACCTGCAAAAGTAAAAATAAAGGGAAAAAAGCATAGTTGAACTCAAAAACAACAAAATGATGTAGTAGGAACAATGTTTTGAAAAGATATTGTCAGATGCAATAAGAGGTACATGAATGACAAAGCAGCGAGTGTCCATAAATGCGCCCACAAAGAATGTTTATTTGCCATGATTAATTAAAAGAAGTTTCCATCCATGTATGAACAAGTTGCCAAATTTTTTAACTGAAGTTGCCACATAAGTTGCATTAAAAAAGAAGTCAAACTTATTTTACATGGCAGTTGTTGCCACATGAAACATCTGTCACAAAAAATAGTATCTAGCCCACATGGGAAGCATAGCTACTAACAAAACATAGCATGGGACAAAAAATATGTGCAAACAAGGAGGGAACACTCACACATTTCTTCAGTGTGAGCTTGAAATCACCATGCGCAGCAAAATGCTTCCTCGGGATTTTTATGGTGGAAGTCACCATCCCATATTTTGCAGGTCACACCGTACTGCATGATTGTCTTGTCGGGACAAATATCCATATGCTTGTTGATGAAGTCAATCCCACACGCAACTACATTCTGCGACATTTTACCAAGTGGCCTCACAGACTCGGCAAGATCACCCAGGTCGACATACGTCGCATCACATTGTATGATTTTGGTTCTGTCCAAACATGAGTTGTATGAAAATGATATAACATGAAAGAATCATGTCTACTAAAAAAATTAAAAATAAAACATAAACAAGGCATGGCTGGAATAGCAAAGGAAAAAAATAAGAGAAAAGCAAGTGAGGGGTTGTGTGGTGTGGACGTTACGCTTTCAACTCCTTCATGTGCTTGTTGTTGGACCTCGCATTTCCGAAACGCTTGACAATATCATGCAGGTGGTTCTGCTCCTTTGTGGCCTTGACTTCGGGGTCATAGCCATCCGCGGGTGGTTCATGAACTACCCTATGCTGCCTCATAGATCTAGGGGTGGCACTTCTAACGGTATCCTCGGATACCGACTCAGCAGGCACGTTAGAACTTGATTGCCCCTAACCTCGTGAGGACCTCCTCTTCAATGCTTCCTTCTCAATGTTGCGGTAAGCTTCATCAAGTGACGGCGAAATCTCCTCAGGGGTGGCTGCAAGGATCAAACAACGGGTTAGGATACTTGGAAGAAGAAACAAGTTTACGGTGAAAAAGGATGCAAAATATGAAAATGTAGGTGCAAAAAAGTTAGTTGCCATGTGGAGACAACTCCAGTTGCCATGTGTACTGAACTAAAGTTGCCATGTGTCAACAACTGTAGTTGCCAAGTGCATTGAACTGAAGTTTCCATGTTGTAGCAACTCCAGTTGCCATGTGCTTGGCGAATGGAATTGCAACATGGCAACAAATGTAGGTGCCATGTTGCAGCAACTCCAGTTGCCATGTGCATCCAATGAGATTTGCCATCACTAGTAAGAAACCAAAAAAAGGTTATGACAAACGTCAGACTAAAAAAATGTAGAAACAAATGATAAACACAAAACATGTACCTTGCACTATCGGCTCTGCAAACTTCACAGCCTTCCCGCCATCAGCCATTGGCTGCGCCATCATTGGGGCCATGCCTGCCGGGAAAGCAAAGGCAACAGGCATAGCATCTTGCACCACTGGTTCATCTTCATTGCGATGGATGCCGAGGTTACAGCTCGGTGGGGTGAAGGCCATTGGGTGCCTCTCCACCCTACCAGCCGGATCGCGAAAAAATTGCTTGGCAGAATCTAGGGGTGACAGATCAACAAACATTTCTGCCTCGTCTGCTGCAGCATCATCAAGCTTGTTAGTAGGGCGGGGCATGCTCTCAGCGGTCTCAATCGCAACTTTCTTGCCAATCTTCTTGTTTGGGCTGTACGAGACACCAATGTTGACTGGGAGCTTAGAAATGCACAGATTTAAGTTGGGTTCTCCGCGGCGGGTAAAGACGCAGTCTCCTCCAAACATTCACCTCCGTCAGTCGTGCCCGGCTTGCCACCTGGGTCAGTTGTGCTCCGGACTTCCGTTTTCTCCATAACAATGCTTTTGGTAGGTGGTGGGAACAGTGTGGATGCAGGCACATAACCAGAGTCATCTCTGCCGCTCCTAGCAACAACTGGTGCGTTGGGTATGTCTGCAGATTGCTTGCGGGGGCTACAATGCCTAGGTGGAAGACCATCTCGCGAAACGGTCGCCGTAGCAACCTCTGGACCACTAGAAGATGGAGCTATTGTGCCAAGAGTCTCACCTATGGATGGCATATCATTCTGGATTGTCACCGTAGCCCCTTCTTTTGTGGACGCAGCAGTGCCACCACCCACGCGCTTGGAATCCGTATCAGATGAGTGGGAATCTTCCTTGCTTAGGTTGATGTCGGGAACGTCAACTTCAATGCTTGCTGATCGGGTGGCATGGGTCACAATAGCATCCTTCATTGCCAGCAGAGTGGGCAATATCTCAGCAGTCCTGGAAGATACTGACTCATCACTCCCAGATGTACGGATGCCTATTGTTGTAGCCTGCACATCTGCAACCGGCGGAGATGGTCGACCGCTTGCATTAGAGCTAGTGGGAATAGTGGACGGTGCAACAGCAGTTTTGTCGATTGGTGCCTCATGAACATCTGAGTTGCCACCTGTTGACAACTTCGAATGAATGCGTTCGAGCGGGTCTCTGGGGTTCTGCTTGGTCACGTGTGTGGTAGTCTTCTTCACCCTACAAGAAAAGCACATGAAAGAGTGTAAAAAATTGAACAAAATAGTTGCCATGGTAGCCATCTTAAATATGAAAAATGTGTGATGTGCTAGAACTGCCATTTGAGAACTAGGTATGGATGAGCACACAAGACAAAATGTAGGGGTGGTGGAAGCCAGTGGAAAACTGCTAGTTGCCATATGAGTGGAAAAGGAATTGCCATGAGGCATAGTTAGAAGTTGCCATGCAGAACAAGCAGGAGTTGCTATGCAGCAAAAAGTAAGATCATGAGAAAATAGGAGTTTTCATGTGGGACTGATGGCAGTAGCCCATGTGGCAAGCTAGAAAGATACATTGAAAAGCAGACGATAGTTGCCGCATAAATGTATCAACTAAAAAAGTTGTGTATGATCTAGAATGCATCAAGAAAAAAAATAGCACTATGACAATGAATAAACAGGGAGAACCTACTTCTTGACTGTCTTCCTCAAGTCTACCAACACGACAGGATCCCCGGTATTGGACGTCAATATACGAGGAGACGACCTAGTAGTAGTGATGTCACCAGCAGTGGGAGCACCCTTGTTTAACCGGGCAGAAACACGGTTTGGCGTTGGTTCTTGTTTCTTATTACCTACTCGTCCACCAGTTGTAGCCTCACTGCACATGGAAAAAATGGCAAAAAAGGGTAGCAAGTGTGAGACACAAAAATCATGCCGCACTTAGAAAACAATGAAAAAAGAGTTGGTCTATTAAAAAGGAGGGACAAACAAAACACTAAAAAGATGTCAACCCTCCTCCTAGCAGCTACGGGGTCCATCCTAGACCTCTTTCCAACAAAGCCCCAACATCCTGTCGAGCCCTGCCCCTCTTTGAAGGCGACACCCCCGTGTCTTTCGCAACTGTCTGTTCAATGAATTTCTCTGGTGGGGGACATTTGGTGCAGCCTTGTCCTTCTTACCACCTACGCGAACTTCAACATGTTCATCATCGTCGGTTTCATGTTGCACATTCTCCATGTCATCATTGTCGTCCTTATCGAGACCAGCATCTCCATCCAGTTCATCTTGTGTGTTGGGGAGCTCCTGGGAGCTATTGTAGTCATAACAGCCACGACAAACAATTGGCTGATGAGTCCATTCTGCAACAAATGGTGTGAACTGCCTCACAACTGCATCGCTGTTAGATCCATTAAGTGCAGTCGACCCCTCAACCAACTTTCCGAGAAAGCTGGTCATGCCAGAAGCAAACTGCCCAACTAGATGCTCAACAGGTGCCCTCGCCTGAGCACAAAACAAAAAGTAGCAGTAAACCAACCATATTAGGGTCACGTGCGCAAGAACAAATAAACCTAAACAACCATAGAGATATATCAAAAAAGAATAAGAGAAAAACAATTTGAAAAAATAAAATAAAAATCCTTGATTACCCCAGTAGGACAGGACGAAGCTGAGTGCATGTTCATCCACTTGCCAAAGTTTTGAGGCCCACCAAACATGTTGTAGTCTATAACATGCTTGGCCATCAGCTGGAAAACATCAGAAACAGCTAGGATGTAGGAGAGAAAATAAGGAACAGTGACTAACAATTCATGTATTGCAAAAAAAGAGGAAGAAATTAGAAGTTTCAACATGGATGGTGGAGTTGTCCTGTGGTGTCAGACATGGGTGCCATGCGCAGACAACCATGGCTAACAAGGTATTCATCTCTTGTTAGCCACAGATGGTTTCCATATGGGGTTTTTATATATCTTATGCAGCATCGAAATTGAAGAATGTCGTGCAAGAAAGGAGGTAGAACTAACCTGTAGTTTCCCATATTTCATATCAGTTATCTTGTCAGCGGCAAGCACAGCCTTGACAGCATATTACGTCCACACAGACACAACAAACTTATGTGGAGGCGGCGGGCCTCCTGTCCTAGTAAAATCAACGGTGGACAGATTAAGACGATCAATGTACATGAGCTGGTGTACACAATAAAAAAGAAAAATAGGTCAGTTGCCATCATGCTATGTTGAAAAAGAAGCTAATGCAGATTCCTTCAGTCATCAAGTTGAAGGGTATGAAGAAAAAAAGTTGCCATCTATCTGTGTTAGTTGCCATCATGCTGTGCTGGCAGTTGCCATCATGTTATGATGATAGTTGCCACAAGGTCAACATCATGGTTGGCATGCATATTGTATAAACAGAGAGTGGATGTATGAAATGAACATTTTTTGTGTGTTGTTGAAAAATGCTATTGCCTTGTAGGTAGCAACCACGGATACCATGGATCAAAACAGAAGTCACTTT